AACATTTTTTTGCTTTTGCCGGTTTAGGGGGGTATGAGGGTACACCCAACATATTTCGTGTTATTCTATAGGCCAATACCTTTCAAACGATACCTTATATATTGAGTTCCGGAGTTAAATGTGTTTTGGTTCGTGTCTCCACTTCATTTACTTTTTTTCAAAGTTTCAGGAATTAAAGTACCAAAAGAACTAGGAAGGTTTTGTTCCAGGATGTTTCGATTCGTAGGCCTTTGGGGGCGTGGCTGGTGCGTCAAATTCGAAAAAGGCGTTTTTTTAAACTACCACTGATGTCGTACTACTCATTCCATACCATTGAAGTGGATATCAGTAGAAGGGCCTTAAAACAAGCTATCTAACGCTGTCTTTTGCGTTTATAAAATATAAATATGTGAAAACTCTTGTTTTGGAGATATTACAATTCAAATAGAAAAAAAATTCTCTCCAAGAAAGGTCAAATGGTTAAAAAATTAACATATTCGTCTAATTTTGTTACTTTAAGATATAAAAATATCATACCCAGTTCCCCGAAAAAGTGCACATTCCCCGATTGCCTCTTAAACCGAAATTCCCTGCAAATCGGGGAATATCCCGCGAGTTGACAAGTTGAAGGATGCAGCTGTGCTAATCACTTTGTACATGACTTGGTAACCACAATTTGTGTGTATTTTAGAGCTTTTTTCCAGTCACATGCCGAAATTGTAAAATTTTCCCCATTTCAATTGTAGGTATGTACACAGTATTTAACTATACTACATGGGTTTATCACCCGCACTTAACCTACCTACCTGGGAAGACGAATACCATATTACCAACAGTTGTACATAAATATGTATGTATGAATGCATTTAGTTCACCCAAAGTGCCGCTAATACTTACATAAAATGTATAAATTGCGACTGAGCAAAACTACTTGAGAAAAAAGCAACACCGTACACGTGATAGAAGTAAAACTTCTTAAAAAAGCACATGTTGGTACCAAGTTGATAAGTTTTTATCATCTCTGTTTTGTTGTAGGAGAATTAAAATAATACACGTTTAAATTTACTTA